TCGATTCTGCTTAAATTCTTATTTTAGTCAACAATAATTTCTCTGAACAGAAAGAAAATTAAATTCATAATTTTTAAAATCACTGATATAGTTTTAATATGGCCCTAGGGGGTCGCCATAATTTTTTAACTTGTAAAGGGGTCGCGTATTCAAAAAGGTTGAAAAACACTGGTTTAGCAGATGTAATTACGTAACAGCTACCGATTGAAACACCTTTGGTCAGTTATAACTGTCAACTCTGCTAAACATTGTCATTGTAGCTTCTCTCCTAACGTGATACTGCACTAGTTTTCCTCTCGAAGATTCTCTTCTCTTCCAGATATGAGCAGATGTCTGTCGTCTGTAGTCACGATTTCGTTATATTCAATATGGATGACTAACTCGTCAGAGACTGTATTTCTTAACTAAATACACTCAAACAAACCTTTACATATGCACTGTAATTTAATAGATAAATTCAAACGTTTTCGACCATATTCAATGGTCTTTATCAAGAAAAAACTGAACAATCGAACTTCGAACTTACAATTTGAGTTACCGATACAAGCGTTATTTTTGGAACGTTTTTAAAAAGATATTCTATCGTATAAGCGCCATCTCTACATATTGGCTGTAATTACAGTAGTTAAAATAATACCAGTAAAATACACTAAAATACAATAAAGTGCAGATAGAAACAAAAGTTAAGAGAGTTGCCGCTTTGCTAACTTTCTTGACTCTTATAGGATGCATGTTCTCCATGTTTCCGATATTTAATTACGGCTGCATATGTAAAGGTTTGTTTGAGTGTATTTAATATGGATGACTGGATGCAATTCGCGTTATACAATCATATTAGAGAACGTTCTCTATCTCGGGAAAGAGTATTTCAAGCTAGAGATAACGCTTTTGATTACTTTTTTAAAGCTGTCAATTTTTACTCAGAAACGCCATTGACTCCATCTTTTATTTATTCATTTATTTTTTTAAAATTATTTTACGTCAATTACTGAACCATTAAATGTGCTGTTAATGCCATTTGTTATTTCAAGTCATCCATCTCAAAGTATTTTTGAAATATTACCATCTAATTTCCTCTTAAGTACGGATCCTTTTCTAACTCAGTTATTAAAATTTCTATTTGTTGAGAGACAACGTTACTCGAGACATTCTGACATTAAAATCCGCAAAAACATTAACTCCTTAAGCCCCGAGCAATTTTTGATATTAAGGTAATTAAACATAAAAATACTTAAAACTGAAAAAAAACGAAAGAAATGCGTTAATTTTGAAGAAAAAGCTTCAAATTTTATTTTCCTTTGTCTCGCCGTTCTGTGAAATTTGACACCGATGAGTCATTGTTTACACAGCTGGATGACCTTGAGAACAGCTGGAATCGGATTTCCCGGGACATTCTCATAGAAGTCTCGGGAGGCGATGGGTTTATAGTAGGGTGACTACCAGCTGGCTGTATATTTTTAAATATTTTTAAAAAATTAAAATTTTTATTGCAATTTCCAACCCCCTGACTTAATTAAACTTATATATAAAATCTATTAATTAAAAAAATTAAAAAACTATTGGAGGTCGTTTTTGATAACAGAAAGTAGCTTAAATAACTTTATCGAAGTAAAATCCGTGCACTACAACTTTAGAACAATTAATTAAATTTGATAAAAAAAAAAAACCATTAAAAACAATTAAGCGTTAATCACGCGTCATTAATTAAAGGTTGATTAAAATCGCGATAAAATTTTTTCTCGCGGGTAAACATTTTTGAAAAAATTTGGAGAATTAAAAAACATTCCAAAAATTCAAAAAAAACTTTTCAATTAAAGACCGCCTTTTGTGTAACGCTATGTAACTTGCCCAAGATATCTCGGGTTTGGGGCTTAAGGTTAATAAAACAAAATATTGATAAAAACAATTCGTCATAAACCATGCGCTTTGTGTTCAATAATTTTGTACTCTGAATTTTTGTACTGTGTTGCGCATGCAAGTAACGCAAACACATGTAACCGAGCTAGTAGAACCGTGACGTAAACAGCAAAAATGAGATCGTTACGAATGACCAGAATTGCCTTTGTCTCCGGAAGACAAGCTTCTTCCTCGTATTGATGTCATTCGTCTCTGAAAGAAGAAAGGTGTGTGACCAGACTATGGCCCAAGGTTTCTGCAATAGAGAGGAAGATGACTAACGGCATATACCTTGAATCTGTTGCAGTTGGAGGTAATGGATGGCCGCCATCGGTTAGACGAACCCTGGCTGCCTTTCTCCATCCATTTTCATCTCCACAAAGACTGTCTTTATCAGAAGGCAGTAAACGTGAATTAGTTAAGTCCACGACCACGTTTTAAACTAANAGTATAGTACATATGAGAGAACTAAATCCATATTTAGTTGCTTAGAAACTAATCAGATATATAATTATATTATTTCATTATCTAAGATAATAAAATTGATAATATCTTATTTTTATATTAAACTGGCATCAATAAAATGATTTTAATGACAATATCAACATTAAGTCATGTTTATACTCTAATATATCGAGAATATTGTCATACTTTAAATCAAACATAAAAAAACAATACAATAATTTAAATAACTATTCTAAAGGTAATTTAATTTTTCTGCAATTTAGATGCATATATTGATAGTATGTAGTTTATTCTGATACCAAATGTAACTATAACTGTATAAATGTAATTGAACTTCAATTTCACACATTATCAAAACTCAAATTATCAAAATTTACGACATAATGTGAAATTATAAATAATAGCAAAATATAAGATAACTTAGTCATAATGTGATTATATTATCTTCCTTTGTCTCGCCTTTCTGTGAAATTTGACACCGATGAGTCATTGTTTACACAGCTGGATGACCTTGAGAACAGCTGGAATCGGATTTCCCGGGACATTCTCATAGAAGTCTCGGGAGGCGATGGGTTTATAGTAGGGTGACTACCAGCTGGCTGTATATTTTTAAATATTTTTAAAAAATTAAAATTTTTATTGCAATTTCCAACCCCCTGACTTAATTAAACTTATATATAAAATCTATTAATTAAAAAAATTAAAAAACTATTGGAGGTCGTTTTTGATAACAGAAAGTAGCTTAAATAACTTTATCGAAGTAAAATCCGTGCACTACAACTTTAGAACAATTAATTAAATTTGATAAAAAAAAACCCATTAAAAACAATTAAGCGTTAATCACGCGTCATTAATTAAAGGTTGATTAAAATCGCGATAAAATTTTTTCTCGCGGGTAAACATTTTTGAAAAAATTTGGAGAATTAAAAAACATTCCAAAAATTCAAAAAAAACTTTTCAATTAAAGACCGCCTTTTGTGTAACGCTATGTAACTTGCCCAAGATATCTCGGGTTTGGGGCTTAAGGTTAATAAAACAAAATATTGATAAAAACAATTCGTCATAAACCATGCGCTTTGTGTTCAATAATTTTGTACTCTGAATTTTTGTACTGTGTTGCGCATGCAAGTAACGCAAACACATGTAACCGAGCTAGTAGAACCGTGACGTAAACAGCAAAAATGAGATCGTTACGAATGACCAGAATTGCCTTTGTCTCCGGAAGACAAGCTTCTTCCTCGTATTGATGTCATTCGTCTCTGAAAGAAGAAAGGTGTGTGACCAGACTATGGCCCAAGGTTTCTGCAATAGAGAGGAAGATGACTAACGGCATATACCTTGAATCTGTTGCAGTTGGAGGTAATGGATGGCCGCCATCGGTTAGACGAACCCTGGCTGCCTTTCTCCATCCATTTTCATCTCCACAAAGACTGTCTTTATCAGAAGGCAGTAAACGTGAATTAGTTAAGTCCACGACCACGTTTTAAACTAAAACAACATTTATTTACAACAATCTTACGAGTACACTTGAGAGAGAGCTACACGTGCTCATGGCAGCAATCACCCGACAAGAAAAAGCAACAATACCCAGAATCCCATCCGGAAAAAACCCTTGTCCCCGTTTTTCAATCCGGGATTCACGGGAAACTCCTAGAGGAGTGGCGCCATCTCACCAGTCCGTGATTTGTCGCTACACAGTTATTGAGGAAGTGTAGTATTCCTGACGGCCGGCAGAGCTCATCACAATGAATCATCTGCGAGTGATATGGACAGCAAGGTTGAGAAACATCTAGGAACATGATCAAACGTGGAAGTATATGTATTATACGGTTTTCGCATGCCATGGAACAACCTGGTAGCCATTCATCTTCAACTGGTAGAGGTGTATGGAGACGGTATATTCCCCCTGCCTGGAGGGTTTGACAAAATTATTTTATGACAGAATGGATGCATTGATTATCCGGTGGATAGTGCTACCACCGGTCCGGTTTTCATCCGTCCAGTCAGGACAGTCCGGGAATTGGCTCACTGTCCGGGTGAACTATTAATTTTGTCCGGGAATTTCGTAGAAATTGTGAAATTACGATGAAACAAAGTTCTTGCAAATATTTTTACAAATTTACACTATTTTAACAGNTATTTTCTTTGAAGGCATTTTTATGCATGAAATACAGCTAAAAAGGAAAACAAAAAGTTTTGTCTTAGGAATCAGGAACAGATTAATCCATTTTATATTGTTTCTTATGGGAAAATTTGTTTCAGTTTTAGAACAAATCGGTTTTCAAATAACTTTTAGAAATAAATTCAGTTCAAAACCTAAGGTTTGACTGTATTATTCTTTAAATAAAAATTTATCAATTGATTTAATTTAACATTTTATAAAAAGTACATACTGTGTTGTGTCATTTTATATTTAATTAATTATAAATTAACATTCTACATAAAAAAATTGCAATAAAAAAATTACCTTATCAAAAAATGCAAATTCATTTAAGCTACCATGCTTTCCAGCTTCAGATAAAGTAATATCTTTCAGACTAGTCATTTTTTGTTTCTGCAAAAATACCAAAATAGTATATATATATATTATATACAATTTTTAATTAATGAAAATAAAGTTATAAAAGAAGTATAAAAACCTTATTAGGTTGTGATGGCAATGATGGAGCAGGACGTTTAACAGCTTGTGGTTGTTTTGTTTGGCTGTTTATAGGAGTGCTTACAGGTTTAGACACGATAGGTTTCTTTGCAGCAGCTGTATGATCATTATTCACAGCTTTGGTTGTAGGTTGCTAAATAACAAAAAATAATTGTTAAGTATTCATAAACTTAACTGAAATTGTTAAAATCATTTTTCTTACTTTCAAAACATTCTACTTCAATTCAATTACTAAAATCAATGGCATATAAATGCCAGATATCACATTAAAAATTTACAAGTTAATATTTAGGAAAAATAAGTTATTGATTCTATTGAATGGTTAACTTAACTGTTTGAGTTAGATGTTTTGCAATATTTTAGTTACATTAATAATTAGTAAATTTTAAAATAATTAAATTACTTGTGTCTAAAACAATTTTGGTCTGAAGATTTGAACCAGCAACTTCACATAACAATGTCATTAGTTTGTCACATGTACCATCTAGACTTCAAGCCAAATTTCTTAGTTATTTATTAATATTAAATAATATGTAACACTTGTAGTTACTATTACATTATCAAAGTTATAATCATATTTATCTAATACAATGATTCTTAACCCTTTCTTGCTCATACTCCCTTGAATTTTTAAAATGTGTTCATGCACACCCATAAAAAATTCATTTTTTTTTTATTTAGGAGGGAGAATCATACTATTTTCTCACATCTATTTTACCTTAACTTTAGGTATGAAGCTGGAATCACACTTACAGAAAAACACCACTGAAAACATAAACTAAAAGCCAAAACCAGAAAAATTTTACATCCCTCACTGTAAAATTTCTGGAAAATCAACTCGAGAGGTGCTCAGTGGAAAATTTTTACTGATCATGTAAAATGTAGATGTTGACCAATCAGATCCCTGGGAGTATTGATGTGTTTACAATGTCACTGACTGCTGTGCTACCCGAGGATAAAAACAAGAATCCGCATGAGCTACTCAGCTGCCATTTTGGCACCTCCACTGATAGTTACATTGCTGCTAGTAATATGAACTGACACTCTAGATGGCAAAGAAGTTTGTTATTTTTTTTATTCTGTTTTTCTTTTCTTTCAAGATTTTACATGTGAAACACAGAATTCATACTGAATGGAAAATTGCCATTACGGTTTCATGAACTTTTTATTCTGTAAGTGTGACTCCAGGGGGTGTATTCTGGTCATTGCTCTTGTCTCTAAGAGACAGTATCTATGTCACAAGCCAGTTGCTGATTGGCTAATCACATCTCTCCATACGATTCTAGACATCTTTTTCTCTTGAAGATTCTCATTTCTCAGAGATGAGCGGATAGTTGTCTTTCATCTTTTGCCTCGATTTCATTATATCCAATATGGACGACTGAATGCTCACGCTGGACAATTGCATTAGAGAACATTCTTTAACTCAGAAAAGAATATTTCAAGAGAGAAAATGCTTCTCATTTTTTTCCAGTGCCTACTTGGGAACGCCACTGATTCCAACATTTTTAATTATCCTACATCGATTACTAAACTGTTAAATACAATGTTAATCTTATCCATATCTCTAAGTATTTTTCAAAATATTACCATCTAATATCTCTTTAACTAAGTACACATGCTTTTATAACATAGGTTATTAAAATTTTTATTTGTTAAGTGACAATTTGATATTACAATCTGTAAAAATGTTATCTCTGTTTATAGAGTGAAAAGAGCTGTCTGTATTTCGTAACAGACTTTGCCCTATAGGAAACTGAAAGAAGAAGAAAGCATGTGAATGTAGTGTGAAAAGAAAGGGAGATAGGAAAGTGGGAAAGGAAGGCATGGGAGGCACCATGGGCGCCTGTATTGCATTTGTTAAATATTACATTGGTTACATATTACAATCAGTGCATGATGCTAACATACAACATAAAGTTGGTTATTATATTTACAAAGCATGTATACCACAAAGTAATCAGTGCTGTACATTACACAATAAGTAATTTGATGAGACCAGAAGTGTTTACAGAAATGAGGGAATATGACTGGTAAGTCATGGAAACAGGGTGATTACAATGGTATCTTTGAAGCAACTGTTACATTACATTGGCAAGGTTATTGGAACAATTTAAAATAACATTAGGTATGTTTGGAGACAAGTGGGAACATTAAGATGATCGCAGATGGGTGTTACAGTTGGTGGCTACAGTGAGGATGGTATCTGTGTTTACAATAGAAATTACCGGTTAAGTTCACAATTTGGTTACAATTTCAATACAATGAATTATTGAAGTTACCATGGTATAACTCTAGAGCAGTACGAATTAGTTACTACATCATAACACTTGTATAGTACAATTTAATGATTATATAAGCTACTTTTACTAAACAGAATTCAAATAAGTATTTACAATATCATTGGGAGCCATGTGCTAGCCCAATTGTTGAAAGGAATTTAGGCACTCCAGTAGATGGTCTAAGGTACAGTCTCTGTTCTGTTCATGTTGCTTAAGGCCCTTGTTTTATGAATAAAGTTCTTGAGGCCATTCCACACATCTTGGTTGTTAAAAATGTCCTTGGGGTTTGGTGGCCAGTTGAGTCCATTCTTGAGGCATTTCCCGATAAGTGGGAGCCTTTCCTCCTCGTATTTTGGACAGTCGTACAAAAAGTGGTTTGTGTCTCCCTTGCTGGTATCATCACAGTCAGAAGTGTTTGTGTGTTGCTTGCCAAAGCGGTGGAGGTAGGCGGCAAAATTGCCATGTCCAATTAGACATTGCATGGTTTCAGCATCCGGAGTATAGTGTCTGGTCTTAAAACATAGGTAGATGGATGGTATGTAGGCATAAGTAGTTCTCCCCGTTTCTGTGGCATCCCATTCTTGTTCCAACTGTTCGTTCTCCAATGTTACAAGTTGACTTTTTAGCCATGTGTAAGGTAACCTTGTGTAGGTAAGTGCCTTGTTCAGTAGACAAGCCCTTCTTGCAAGCTTATCAGCAAGTTCATTGCCAACGTGTCCCTGATGAGCAGGGATCCAGCTGAAGCAAATCTTCCTGATCCTGCCCAGTTCGTTGGCTGCCGTAATGAGATCGAGCGAGAGGCTGGTATGCCTCTTTCTCTTTCTGAGTATGTTCAGTGCCGTTTGGCTGTCCGTATGGAATCTAATATGGCTCTTGTACTTCTGAATGTTATTTTTAACATGTTCTATTGCCTTGTAGATTGCCCATTGCTCTGCTTGTATGTTTGAGCAGTGGGGGGCCATCTTGAGGTAACCTGAAATTTCATTTTGCCTTCTCTGTTCATGATTACAAACCCAGCTCCTGTGCCCTTATCACTTTTTGATCCATCGGTGTAGATTTCCCAAGCAGCCCCATTGTTATTATAGTGTTCGAAGGTGAGGCTGATTGCATAGACTTGCTTGTCATATGGGTGGTTGTAACATACATTAATCCTGGTTGTGCTGTCCAGTCCATGTGTCTGAACTCTATTCATGATGTCTGATATTTCCTTAGTTTTGTCCTCGTTATTGCTATTGTTAGTAGTCTTGTTGGCCTCGAAGATGTTGATGCCCCTAGTGATGAGCCATCTCCAGGCAATGCTTCTGGCCTGTATATGTATGGGGGTAATTCCGGCCAATACTAGTAGGGCACTAGTAGGCGCAGTCCGATATGACTTGCAGATCTGAATGGCGTATCGTCGTTGTACGGAGAGGAGCTGGCGCCTTACATGAGTTTTATTTAAAGCCATACCGGAACAGCATATAGCAGGGCAGGCTCCATAGCAGCTTTATAGATGGTTTTCCTGTTCCTAAAATTTAGGCCCCAATTTTTGCCAGTAATCCATTTTAACACATTCGCTCTCTGGATGGAAGCTTGGCAGAGCATCTTAATGTGATGCTGCCAGTTTAGTTTCTCATCAAAATATATTCCTAGGTATTTCAATTCGCTCTCGACTTTTACCTTGTTGTTCCCTATATATATGCCAGGTGCCCATTGCAACCTACTGCGTTTGTTCCACCTAGTGCATACTAGGGCCCAGCATTTTTCGAAGTTTATCGGCAGCTTGTTTCTGTTGCTCCATTCATAAATATACCTTAGGTGGTTGTTTGTATGCTCTGCCAGCTTGTCACAATTCCTGTGTGCTACCATCAACAATAAATCGTCAGCAAATGCCTGGATAGTTGCTTCCTCAGTGATTTTAAATGAGTTAAGAGACTGTCAAATACCAGATTCCACAATCCAGGTCCACATCTAGAACCTTGTGGACACTCTCTGTTTGTTTCTTGATGTTTATATTGCCTGTGTGAAACACTGTCTTCCTATTACTCAAGTAGCTTTTGGTAATTTTATAAATATTCAAGGGATAACTGATGTCTTTCAATCTATTAAGGATGCTTGGCCACCATAGGTAGTTGAAAGCCTTCTGAAAGTTGATGCTGACTAAAATTGCATGGTTGTTTTTCTTCCATGCTTTAGTGATGAAGGATTTTACCTGCATGGCTGCATCTGTTGTTGATTTTCCTTGTCTGAATCCATATTGATTCAGGCTCATCTGATTGCTATGGTGAAGTGACCAGTTAATTCTTCCTATTATCAGCCCGTCGAGAACCTTCCCCATCACTGGGAGAAGGCTAATGGGTCTGTAGTGGCCAGGCCTGGATGGTTTCTTTTCCTTTGGTATCAGCTTTATGTTACCCACTTTCCAATTGCTAGGAAATAGGCCTGTTTCCAAACATTTGTTGAACAAGTGTTGAACAAAGTGATAGTGGGATTGCTTTGAAAACTTCCTTCATCATTTCCGGTGTAATTTTGTCTAGCCCCGGTGCCTTCTTGTTCGTGAGAGATGTAACTGCCTTCTCCAACTCTCAGAAGGAGAAGAGCCTGTCGTTGCTGGCGTTTGAGTAGTTCTCACTTTCATTTCATATGCTCTTATGTATCATTGTGTCTTCTTCGGGAAGGTCTGTAGGGAAGTGGTAATTCATAATCTCAGTTATATTCTTTTCGATGTCAGGTACAGGTACACTCTCATTGTCAGATTGCTTTATTGAAATTATATCAGGGATGCTTAACTTTGGCCTTTTTTTGTAGATCATGTAGTAGGGGATATCCCATGGTCTGTTTTTATTTGATCTGCTACAAAATTCTCTCCAGGCTTTTGTCCTTGTTTTGTTGATTAGTTTTTTTATACTCTTTTAGCCCAATTTTATATGTTTGCTTTAACCTGGTTTTTTCATCCTCATTATTTGTTCTAGTTATCTTTCTGTGAGTTTTTGTTATCTTTTTCTTTTTAATTGTTAGTTCTTCGGTCCACCAAGGAGTCTTTCTTTGTCTTCTTGTTTTAGTCCTGGTCGCTTGCTCCTTTGTCGATTGCATTGCTTTTGTAAAGAAATTGACATAATCGTCTAGATCTTTTTGGGTGTTTATGGGGGAAATCATAAGTCATCTATTGTTGGCTGAAAAGCTCCCAGAAGAGTTCCAAGTTAGTGTGTTTGCCCTGGTGATTGATTTGGTGGTTGGAGATGGTAATGTTAGAGATCTGAGTCATGATGTATCTGTGGTCACTTGCGGATGGGATTAGCATAGTCTCACAGTCAACTATGCGGTGGCTAAGGTCCATTGATACCAGGCATACGTGAGTCCAGCCCTCCGCATATGGGGTATGAAAAGTTGGATAGGTGGTCATATTAGTCGAGATCAGATCATGTGCTTCTGTAAAGTCCGCCACCAGCCTTCCCCTTTTGTCCTCCTTGTTGTGAAACCATATTGCTGATTTAGCATTGAGATCTCCTGCTATGATAATGCTATTGGTGTTGATTCTCCTTATAATGTTTGCCAGTTCATTAATGCAGTCTTCATCTTTGTTGTCAGGAGAGAAGTACACACTAATAATGTAAATGGGCCTTTCCTGGTGGATGACTGCTGTACAGATCCTGTACGAGCATAGCTGTGGGATAAGTGCAATGTCCAGGCTGGTGTTACAGACGAGGATACCACTCTTTGGCCCGGTATTACAGTGGCCAGCAAGTACCCGCTAGTTCCCGAATCTGACAATCGTGTTGTCGATTGTGTAAGGCTCCTGTAACATGATGATATCACTGTTTGTATCATTAGCTGTTTTAATTAGCAGTGAACTGGCTGCTTTGCTCTTTTGTGCATTCAGTTGGAGAATTCGAATATTTATGGTGTCCTGACTATGGTTGATATTGGTTTCCTTCTTGGTCGATTGCATGTCCATGTTATTCAGAATAATACTTTTATTTTGATTACAGGTCATAGTCAGTTCTGCTAATAGTTTGTTGCTCCAGTCATTGAAGGATTGGACAGCTCATGCTAAAAGCATTATGGTGTACAGGTTTCCGTTTATCTTCTGGTAAACTTTCGTTCGCTTTTTTGCAATTAATGCAGACAGGATTCTTATGCCAGCGATCACACTCCTTAAACCCATGACTTTTTGTGCAATGACTACACCTTTGCTCATTTGGGCAGTCACGTGCAAAGTGATCAAAGCCGCAGCACTGGTAACACCTGACTACCAGTATAAAATCGTCCACATAGATAGTGAACCATGACATAGAGATGTGCCTGTGGTGAATCAGTGCATTCCGGATAGCTGGAGTAACATAATACTACAGTTCCAGCAGTTTTCTTTTATTCTGCGTGGTTGAGAAAGGTGCTGACCTTGCAGGATGATATTATTTCTTTGGGCTTCAGCCCCAAATTTTATTTTGTTCAGCCATGACACTGATTATCTCTTCTTCTGCTATGGCATTAGGAACATTGAGGAGAATTATTCTAGGTTTCCTACCTCCAGAGATTTTGCAGCTGATTTTCCTTTGTCTGGGATAGCTTCAATTGCTTCTTTAAGTATCTTACCATCCTTTTCATTGCCTACCCTGACACACACTCCATCTGCTTTTACCTTTTTTATTGCCTTGATTGTTATCTTCAATTTGTGCAGTTTTATTTCTTTTATGATTTCAGAGGTGATGTCATCCATATTTAGCTGCTGCCCCTCTTCTGTTGCCTGTGGGTATAGAAGGACAGCGTAAGTCCCTCCAGTGCCCTCTGCTTGAACCTTAGTTTTTAAAGAATCTGAAATAGTTCTGGCCCGACTGGGTTAAACACCTAAAGTTGTGCTTGCTACTTGTGCAAATGATTTCTTCATGGTGATTGGAGCCTGCACTGGAGTAGCCACGCAGCTGGCACGCAGCTCGCGCAGTACTCCATACATCTGACTGACACAACAATGCAGTTGCATTACTCGTTCCTTGACCTCCTTCTGCTCCCCAGTGTTCAATGGAGTTTTGTACTTTGCTGGGAGAAGATCCATCAGTCTCTTCAAGTGTTGGCCAGCCTCGCTGAGGATTGTGTCTTCCAGAGTGCGGACAACTGATGGAGATGTTGGCAAGTTCAGAATTTGGTTTGGTTCAGGCGATTCCATTCTAAGAACTGACTAAGTAGCTATGCTGAATAAAGGGCTGATAGCCGTGTAAGTGCCAATGTGCTTGAGAGTGGTAAATGAGTGGGTCCAATACCCTGGAACACTGCCCGGGATAGCAACCTGTTAGTCACGCACAGAGCGAAGAGAGTGTCAATTACAAAAGAACCTGCCTGATAAGAGACAGGACTCACTGAGCCTCGAGGAGAGATGGAAGCACCGCTTACACAGTTATATAAATAAATGTAATAATTAATCAATTAACTAATTTTAACAGGTAATTGATGGCAGAACAGCATAAAGCTAAATAACAAAAGCACTTTGCCAAAAAGCGAGAAAAGCTGTCGGCTCGCTTTACATCCCAAGAAACGATGGCTCCTATAACGACCAAAAAGGGGGGCAAAGTGTAATAAGGAAATAACAATTTCCACACTAAAACCCGAAACGAGTATGTTAATATCGTTCCTGAATCAAAAAGTCCAAAACTCCTGAATTAGGGTTGGCTATGTTAAAAGAGCGATTTCAGGTTAGGGTCGAATATAGTGCTACACATGGTTCTTTGTTCCACACACAATTTTCGGGCCTAATAACTCTCCAACGGAAAGTCATATAAATACGAAAAGCCGGGGTATATTTCCACCCGTGCCCCTAAGGCAAATACCCAAATGATGTGGCCAAATCACGGTCCTACTGGGCAAAAGGTTGGCCTAAAAGTGACCCGGAAACGGCGCCATGGCACATGAAATAATTAACGGAGGATGGCTATTAAGACAAGTTAAAGACAAATCCGACGGTATCTAAAATTAGCTCTACAACCTGTAGATCGGGAAAAATTGCTCCAAAATGGCCAACTGGGGACACCACATGGCCTCGGCACAAAGGTGGCTGTAACTACCAAAAGACTGAACCAATTCAAATAGAATAAATGGCGTTCGATAGTATATACCTTCCCGAACAAAATGACACTAAAATCACTGATGAATTCTTAGTATAACTGGAGTAATTGCAATCCAAAGACGGAGCACACACTCGGCAATGATGATGTATAGCCTAGTGGCATGTTATATGTAAAAATGTTACAAAACAAAAACATATCTTTGTCAAAATTACATGCTTTATTTGAACTCGTGCTTTTCTTACCACATGATCTATACTTACATACTCTGCATTTTCAAAAATTTTACAATTTTATTGGTTAAAATTCTATACTGTGTTGCACACACAGATAACCAGAACACGTATAATCCAACTAATAGAATCGTAATGTCAACAACAAAGACAGAATCATTACGAACAATCAAAATCACCGCTGTCTCTGAGAGACAAATTTTGTCTCTCATTTTGACGTCATTTGTCTCTGAAAGAAGAGACAAGAGATAAGTGACCAGAATACAGTCCCAGCTTAACTTAAGTAATTAAAAAAAAAATCATTTGTACCCATTCATCAATATGAAAAAAATAATCATATAAATTCAAAGAAATATTTTTTCTCTCATAAAGTCTCACACACCCTAGATGAGAATGCACCCCAGGTTAAGCACAACTGGTCTAGAAAAAGTTTATTTTGGAGTTCAAATAGCATAACTAACAATACATAAGTTATTCAAGTGACAAACTCTCTTTTGTGCAATAAATTTTCACTAATATATATAGTATTTTGAATCTTATACTTTAATAAATATGAATAAATACATACAAAATGTTAGAAAATATTAAATGTTTGAAATTTTCATAATAAAAAAAACTTTCATGTGTCATATATCATCATAATATGATAAATTTTTAAAAATATTATATCTTTATAAAAATGTTTAAAATATATTTTAATTTATTTTAATAAGTTTTTTATTTCTGACAGTTACTATAAGATAGGTATGGAGTTTGATTATGTTTTTATCAGAAAAAATTTAAAATTTTCAATTCTTAAAACTTACCAATATACTAGCTGCTCCATTAGCATCTGGCAGAAACTGACCAAATTCCTGAAGTAGATCTTCTTGATTTTGAAATAACTTTGCCACTTGAGCATATACTTCACTCTCAGTGAGAGGTTTAGAACCAGCATGATTTCCCTATTATTAACAAGTGTAAACATTTGAAATTAAAAAAATATTCAAATATTAAAAATAGTACTTTATAATACCACATAAAGAAAACAGTACCAATTCATCAATAGTGATTATTAACTAATTATTAAAAATTAACTGATAATCATTTTGATACCTAATCAGCAATTAATTTATTGGCTAATCATATACATTCCTTATTAAAAGAATGTATCTCATCTCACAATATATAAAATGTATTACATAACACAATAAAATCAAATAGCATAAACTGTCAACAAAAATTTATATACATAGAATTAATAAAAAAAAATCACTTAAATTTTATATATAAAATATACTTAATATCACAGAAAGTATCAGGTTATAATACTGGATTTACAGTTTTTATTTTTAAAATAAAAAGAAATATTCTAAAAGTAAAAATATTGTGTCCATATTAAGAAAGTAATAAAAGGAAATACAATGACATCAAGTAGTAAAAATGTATTTTTCAAAACAGAGATGATGTTCAAACTTTAAAGTATCTTATAGTTTTTTGGAATACATTATTTATTAATTTAAACTTGATTTAAAACTAAATATATACACTTATATCTAAAAGAAAAATTATTTATAATGAAGGTACACTGCTACTGATTTATTATATGACAAATATAATGATTACATAAAAATAATCCAGCAATAAGTTGTGTACTCAACCAAATGATTGCCATAATTAATCAGGCTATAAATTTTCTATTATTAAGTTGTGCAACTTTCCCAGAAAAAATATTTAAAATTATGGATGATGCAGTCTATTATGAGATTTTATTTTAAAAACTTCTTATATTTTTAATTATTGTAAAATGGCAAAAAGCTTAAGGGTAGAGATGAGTTTCATAAAAAAAAAATTGTAAATGCTAATAACAAGTAAAATCTGCATTAAGTCTGACCCCCTTCTCCCAACCCTTGACCTCTAACCACCAAAATTTAACAGCATTAATTCCCTAATACACAAACCCTCATGCAAAATTTCAGAATTTTTGACAAAAGGCTTCGAAGTTCAGCTTCAAAGTGGGTGAACAAAATCATGCCCCATCACACACACACACACACACACACACACACACACACACACACACATCTAGAAATGCAAAAAAATTTGGAAGATTTTTCTAATGTATATATCTATTATATATATATATATATATATATATATACATAGAAATAGAAATATATATAGAAGATTTTTCTATATATGCATTAAGTCTGACCCCCTTCATATGCATCTTCTATATATGCATGACATATACATACATAGAGAAATCTTCCAAATTTTTTTGCATTTCTAGATGTTTTAAGGTCGTTAGTTCAAAAACATAAAAATCTTGGGGATGATTTTTTGACTAATCACTTTACATTCCCATTGTTGCATAAAACAGCTGGGAAATTAATTAGCTAGAAACAAAATTCTTATATGAAGTTGGCACCTTATTACTAATAATAAATTCATTGCTCCTTTCAAGAAACCAAAATTATTTTATTCCAAAATGCTTTCATCCATTTACAAAAACATCTTCAGCACTACATTCTAACTAAAATACAATAAATTTTAAGTGTATATAATTCAACATTTTTTTTATTATTTTAAACTTCTTTAAAATAATTTCCACAATCATACTCAATATTATACTCAAATGTTTTCAAATTTAGAAATTAACTGATTTATCATAGAGGTTGGTCATATGCATCTAAAACAGCCATCCACAAGTCTAATGCTGATGTGTCATAGATATTAATTACCTTAAGAGAGCAAACTATCAGATGTATATAATATTGTTCTACTATCCTAATGGACCATTTTTCCATCCATGCTTTTATAGTCAGGAAGTTCTGTCAAACAACATTAATTTCACTGTCCCAAGCCCATTGGGTTAGTATTGTATCTTATCTGTTTGCCTTGTCCCTTGAATCCTCTGGTGCTCAGGCTCAAAAATTGAACTCTGAACCTGAATACACTTTACAATCAAGTCAATCAAACTTTACATTGCTTTGGCTTACATCTCTATCACTATCAGCATGTCCAACATCTGCTTCCAGAAAATCCTGCAATGAGATTTGAATTTTCTCAGTGGACATATACACAGCCATTGCAAAGTAACTCAGAGAAACAATACCTCATCTTCAGACAAGAGTTTTGAAATGTATTGAGTTCAGGATTCAATTTTTGAGCATTTATTGTGAACATAACATAATATTAATTGAAAGTTAGTTTTCTCCATTAACATTAATCAAACACAACTAGAAATTTTATCCATAGAAGGTAAAAGTGAACTGTTAAAAAAATTTTGTATCTGAATAACAACTTTTTATTACATTTTATTCTTGAGATAATTCAGATATGGGTATCCAAAATACCCAAATATTACACAAGTTTAAACTGACTTTTCAAAAATGATATTTATCATATTTGAATCTTATACTTGCTCATTTACTTACTTCTATTTAAGAAAACTGATAGTTTTAAAGTATATAGAAAATAATCTTAGCAGTCAAATCTTTAACATCTTTTCACTTTACATCCAGTGAAAATTAACTCACAAACATGTTTCCATTGCTTCTGTTCACTTAAATTTGGTGACTAATTGACAAAATATATAGTAACTTTTAAAATTATATATATTGTATTTTTGATTTATGTGGAGACTACTTTCCTGAAATATGTATCTTTCAGGAATACTAAGCATCATTTATGTCACACTTTTCAGGAAACTTTTAATTTATATGTTAGCTTAGTTAACACAAAGAACGAATCATTGATGATAAGCAAAAAGAATATTGCATTAGCAATGGCATCATTTCTGAACATTTTTCTGTTTTTCATATCATGCAAACATTCAAACATTAAATTTTTCCACTAGTGAAAAATATTCACCATCGATTAAAACAACTAATTTCTAGATAACAAACAGCAAGATTTAAACACAGCCACTACAAAAAATGTACTTTCTAATTATATTCTAATAGTTGTAATTCTTTCTGAAATTTTCTTTTTGTAAAATAAAGCATCAAGAACAATTTGCTGTCATCAGTTGACATCTTGTTCTATGATGTTTAACTTCACTCACAAATGAGTGTTGTTCATTTTACTGTTCTTGCATTAAAAAATGGCAATAGAAATCAATTTCACTTAGTTAAAATAAACTTTTTCTCCAATTCACTTTTACTAGAGAATATCGATGTAAACTAATTTTGTAATTTGTACAAATCTTCATTTACATGATAAATTAAGATTTATGCAAATTAACAGAAATTAGCATTTTAAAATTCATGAGGGAATTTTATTGAACAACACATTCGTATTAAAAGATGTCTATAGATATCGTGTACTTGATTTTTCAAGTGATAAACATTTTTGTAAATAATATCTAAGTACAAAATGAGTATCTGACAATTAGCATTAAAAATAAGGTGTAAATTATTATTGTTGTTTTTTTTTTTAATAAATCATAAAAATTTCTTATGATAATTACTGGTATAAAGCTTAAGACTAATTAATAAATCTAACTTTTTCATGACTTGAACTCTTTTTATGATCTTATGACTTTCATTAAAAAATAAGTATTTAATAATTATTATTTAGTAAATATTATAAAACATCTTAATTGAAAAAAATTAATTAGTATTTATTTTAGATTCAAAGTGTAAAGTTGATAACATTTATGACAGCATAATGGTGATGGGATTGATCAATCTGGTATCAGATGTGTCTTCCAGAATTATCCTTTTCTGTTTAATGGTAATAAAACTAGAAGTTGTTGCAAAACAACTTGAAAAGATTTTCTTGAAGTTTGAAGTCTTTTTGCTGTTCCATTGGTTGAAGGAATGTTTGCTGGATGACAAAAATTAACTTGAATAAACTCAAATTATGCCTTCAAAGAAAGTTTATTTGTCTCAAGATAGCATTTTACTTAAAGATATGTTTCAAGTGATCATTTATTGAAGATAAATTGTGTAACTCTGACTTTATTACTCTGACAAAAAACTCTCAGTATGTCTTTGTGACTCTTCCTTGTTTAACCTTCTTGTTTTCTTTCTCTCTAATTTATTATTTTTATACATCTAAAAACTTCAGCTTAAAATCTTGTGTTAATATCTACTGTGATTTCTTTCATAGATTTATAATTAAGTAAATTAGACAAATCCTAAGTGAAGTACATTCTCTTAGAAAATCATTTCTAGAAGAGCAAGTTTCATAAACATTAAAAACTTGTAGAACACATTTCTAATCCATAGTTTTTGTTATTCAATACTAAAGGCTTCAGTTGCTCTTTTATCAGCACTGGATATTTACATTTTTATTATCTGCTTTATTTTTGAAGAATTTGTATTAACTTCTGCTGGTTTTAGAGAAAGTTGGAAATTCAAAAAAACTGATTTTAATCTTTTTCTATATCTTCATGTAGGAGTATTTTATATAATTTTTGATATCAATAAAGGACAAATAATTCATAATTTTTCATAAAATGATAGTAATTACAACACAAAGATCTTTAGATATAATTCCTGAAATTTAGTTTACCATTCTTTTTATTTTCATTCAAATAGTAAACATAGTAATTACTCTTTTGACTTCATCAGTATTTGTATTTATTAAGTAAAATAGGAAATAATATTTAAATACTACAGATAATTGCCTTAAAATATTTTTACAGTTACATGTCCAAAATTTATGAACAAAATGTGCCATGAAAATTATTTATATGAACATGATGCTTATTAATAATAATTGTTGTATTTTGTTTATAACTTTTCTCGTTTTTAGCAATAACCATATTTCACATCATTGGAAGAGAGTATTTACAGTTTAAATTAAAATAAGTAAAATAAAATTACCATTTTCTTTATCTGATCATGCTTAGGATGAGAAAATAAGTTTTAGAATTTTTGGAAATTTATACAAGCTTCATTGTGATCTAAAAGGAAATAAAATTCAATAAGCATACAGCATTCATTATCTTCATTTCAGAAACTTTGAAAAAGTATCATCAATAGATAAAGTTGAAAATTTAAATAAACATAACTGATATTCATTATAGCCTTTTATATCATCATGTTAGCTGATTTGCTCTTACTAACATTTATCTAAATAAAAGGATTTAGTGTTTGTCACAAATTTTATGATTAATCAATTGAATGCTGAAACAACAAGATAATCACTGGAAATGTTTTCTCATTACATACAAATTTCTCTTTACAAGTTTTCAAATTCAATATTGTTTGTTTTCATAATTGTAATATTGAAAAAACATAATCAAACATTTAAATTCTTACTATGAAATGTAATGAGTTCATTACTGATAAATTATTCTCTATGTTTACAATATATTTAGCTCCACAGACAATTGTTGCATTTGTTTTATTAAACATGGTATAACTGTTCCAATAAATTTGTTAATAATTAAACTGTTTTATCATTTTGATGCTTATATTTTCAAATTATAAACTGTTACAATCAATTGGATAAGATGCAAGTTACAAATTTAAATTATTATTGTTCATAAAAAAATAAACTTAAGCATTATGTTCCAACATTTCAAAATTGTAGATATTTTTATCTTTAGAATTCCAATATTTAGATTGATTGATTAAGATTAATGTAATGCAATTTGAATAATGTGAATTATAAATTTAAAGAATTATAGCATTTCTGTAATTTGTAATTATATCATATTCATTAAATTTATAAAATTATTATTATAATGCTTAGATAATGTAAGGACATAGGATTTTGTAACAAATTAACAATGCACATTCCTTCATACCAGCTTCTTCAATGCTTGCAATAAATAAATATTACTGTTTTATAAAAGCTAATATGCTTTTCTTCTGTAAAGTAGATAATGAATTTCAGTAAAATTTTATATTATAGAAATACCTGTTTCAAATTCCTCTGTTCTTTCTGATATGTATGCAATATTTCTAAAAACTGCTTATATATATCTGGTTGACCTTGAAAGCGGTTCTGAAAATTAAAAACATATTGTGAGTATTAATTGCATATTTCATTGTAGTTTTATGCATGTATGTACACACAAAATTTAATAGCCTAGGTCAGCAGTGCCCAAACTTTTCAATCGGTGAGAAAATCACACACAAGTTCTGGATAGCAGACCATAAAATTTTTTTGTACATTCCATGTATATAAAAAATATTTTTCAAAGAAAACATGTTGTATCCAATATATACACATCAGTATCTGTAAGAGCATACAAAGCCTTCTTTTCTTTGACTAAAAAACAGAGACAGTGTGTTATGTATATTTGGAAATTGTATAATTTATAAAATTCTTCTTTTTTTTTAATCATTTATGACTGATTCTTCAAATAACTTTGCAGGCCAGAATAATTTGTGCAATAGGCCAAATTTGGCCTGCAGATCATTGTTTGGGCACCACTGGCCTAGTTGATAATTCAACTAATGTTTTAAAATAAATTTTATTAATTATATATCGGTGTTGTAAAAATTTTAACTAATACTTATTTTGTTGAGAAGTGTTTTTTTATTTTAAAATGTTTTGAAAATATTATTTACCATCTGTTGATTTAAAATGATAATAATAAAATAATCTAAATACATCTATAATTTATGTTACTTAAAATGAATAGTCAAACTCCACTTTTTTTATAATTATAAAGTTACTCCTCATTACTCACTTAATGCAAAAACAGTTTCATCAAAAATTGCAACATAACAGAGTTACAGAGCACAAACATTATGAATTACTACTATTTAATATTTACTATGCAGAATGTTAAGTGTTTTTTTTCCATCAGTTGTCACAAATAATAATTTCAATAGTGCTATTAATTATTATTTATAAGTATCAGTAATACTAATATACTTTTGCATATTTGTAGCATCACATTTAGGAATAATTATCAGAGATTATTCAAAATGCAATTGAAATGACAGTGGAAAACTAATTATAATATATTGAAGTGTGATACAATATTCAAAGTACACACTAAGTTCTGCACAGTATTGGCAATGATAATGAATACATTTTAGAGTTCTTACTGCAGTGAAATTGTTAACCTTTTAAATTTTTAATGTAAAATAATATATAGAATATATAATAGGTGATAAAAGAATAACTTTATAATTAAGAAAAAGAAGTTTGAATAAACTAACTTAGAATTTAGAAATAACAACATTTTAATCACTGATTTAAGCACATATTTGCCATCATACTTAAAATTTAGAGAGATTTAAATAAATAACATTTACACAAAAGCTTATTATTAAGTCAAAAGTTATATGAAGAAAAAATTCNTTTATAAAAATGTTTAAAATATATTTTAATTTATTTTAATAAGTTTTTTATTTCTGACAGTTACTATAAGATAGGTATGGAGTTTGATTATGTTTTTATCAGAAAAAATTTAAAATTTTCAATTCTTAAAACTTACCAATATACTAGCTGCTCCATTAGCATCTGGCAGAAACTGACCAAATTCCTGAAGTAGATCTTCTTGATTTTGAAATAACTTTGCCACTTGAGCATATACTTCACTCTCAGTGAGAGGTTTAGAACCAGCATGATTTCCCTATTATTAACAAGTGTAAACATTTGAAATTAAAAAAATATTCAAATATTAAAAATAGTACTTTATAATACCACATAAAGAAAACAGTACCAATTCATCAATAGTGATTATTAACTAATTATTAAAAATTAACTGATAATCATTTTGATACCTAATCAGCAATTAATTTATTGGCTAATCATATACATTCCTTATTAAAAGAATGTATCTCATCTCACAATATATAAAATGTATTACATAACACAATAAAATCAAATAGCATAAACTGTCAACAAAAATTTATATACATAGAATTAATAAAAAAAAATCACTTAAATTTTATATATAAAATATACTTAATATCACAGAAAGTATCAGGTTATAATACTGGATTTACAGTTTTTATTTTTAAAATAAAAAGAAATATTCTAAAAGTAAAAATATTGTGTCCATATTAAGAAAGTAATAAAAGGAAATACAATGACATCAAGTAGTAAAAATGTATTTTTCAAAACAGAGATGATGTTCAAACTTTAAAGTATCTTATAGTTTTTTGGAATACATTATTTATTAATTTAAACTTGATTTAAAACTAAATATATACACTTATATCTAAAAGAAAAATTATTTATAATGAAGGTACACTGCTACTGATTTATTATATGACAAATATAATGATTACATAAAAATAATCCAGCAATAAGTTGTGTACTCAACCAAATGATTGCCATAATTAATCAGGCTATAAATTTTCTATTATTAAGTTGTGCAACTTTCCCAGAAAAAATATTTAAAATTATGGATGATGCAGTCTATTATGAGATTTTATTTTAAAAACTTCTTATATTTTTAATTATTGTAAAATGGCAAAAAGCTTAAGGGTAGAGATGAGTTTCATAAAAAAAAAATTGTAAATGCTAATAACAAGTAAAATCTGCATTAAGTCTGACCCCCTTCTCCCAACCCTTGACCTCTAACCACCAAAATTTAACAGCATTAATTCCCTAATACACAAACCCTCATGCAAAATTTCAGAATTTTTGACAAAAGGCTTCGAAGTTCAGCTTCAAAGTGGGTGAACAAAATCATGCCCCATCACACACACACACACACACCTAGAAATGCAAAAAAATTTGGAAGATTTTTCTAATGTATATATCTATTATATATATATATATATATACATAGAAATAGAAATATATATAGAAGATTTTTCTATATATGCATTAAGTCTGACCCCCTTCATATGCATCTTCTATATATGCATGACATATACATACATAGAGAAATCTTCCAAATTTTTTTGCATTTCTAGATGTTTTAAGGTCGTTAGTTCAAAAACATAAAAATCTTGGGGATGATTTTTTGACTAATCACTTTACATTCCCATTGTTGCATAAAACAGCTGGGAAATTAATTAGCTAGAAACAAAATTCTTATATGAAGTTGGCACCTTATTACTAATAATAAATTCATTGCTCCTTTCAAGAAACCAAAATTATTTTATTCCAAAATGCTTTCATCCATTTACAAAAACATCTTCAGCACTACATTCTAACTAAAATACAATAAATTTTAAGTGTATATAATTCAACATTTTTTTTATTATTTTAAACTTCTTTAAAATAATTTCCACAATCATACTCAATATTATACTCAAATGTTTTCAAATTTAGAAATTAACTGATTTATCATAGAGGTTGGTCATATGCATCTAAAACAGCCATCCACAAGTCTAATGCTGATGTGTCATAGATATTAATTACCTTAAGAGAGCAAACTATCAGATGTATATAATATTGTTCTACTATCCTAATGGACCATTTTTCCATCCATGCTTTTATAGTCAGGAAGTTCTGTCAAACAACATTAATTTCACTGTCCCAAGCCCATTGGGTTAGTATTGTATCTTATCTGTTTGCCTTGTCCCTTGAATCCTCTGGTGCTCAGGCTCAAAAATTGAACTCTGAACCTGAATACACTTTACAATCAAGTCAATCAAACTTTACATTGCTTTGGCTTACATCTCTATCACTATCAGCATGTCCAACATCTGCTTCCAGAAAATCCTGCAATGAGATTTGAATTTTCTCAGTGGACATATACACAGCCATTGCAAAGTAACTCAGAGAAACAATACCTCATCTTCAGACAAGAGTTTTGAAATGTATTGAGTTCAGGATTCAATTTTTGAGCATTTATTGTGAACATAACATAATATTAATCGAAAGTTAGTTTTCTCCATTAACATTAATCAAACACAACTAGAAATTTTATCCATAGAAGGTAAAAGTGAACTGTTAAAAAAATTTTGTATCTGAATAACAACTTTTTATTACATTTTATTCTTGAGATAATTCAGATATGGGTATCCAAAATACCCAAATATTACACAAGTTTAAACTGACTTTTCAAAAATGATATTTATCATATTTGAATCTTATACTTGCTCATTTACTTACTTCTATTTAAGAAAACTGATAGTTTTAAAGTATATAGAAAATAATCTTAGCAGTCAAATCTTTAACATCTTTTCACTTTACATCCAGTGAAAATTAACTCACAAACATGTTTCCATTGCTTCTGTTCACTTAAATTTGGTGACTAATTGACAAAATATATAGTAACTTTTAAAATTATATATATTGTATTTTTGATTTATGTGGAGACTACTTTCCTGAAATATGTATCTTTCAGGAATACTAAGCATCATTTATGTCACACTTTTCAGGAAACTTTTAATTTATATGTTAGCTTAGTTNTTTATATAGCTATATATATATATATATATACATAGAAATAGAAATATATATAGAAGATTTTTCTATATATGCATTAAGTCTGACCCCCTTCATATGCATCTTCTATATATGCATGACATATACATACATAGAGAAATCTTCCAAATTTTTTTGCATTTCTAGATGTTTTAAGGTCGTTAGTTCAAAAACATAAAAATCTTGGGGATGATTTTTTGACTAATCACTTTACATTCCCATTGTTGCATAAAACAGCTGGGAAATTAATTAGCTAGAAACAAAATTCTTATATGAAGTTGGCACCTTATTACTAATAATAAATTCATTGCTCCTTTCAAGAAACCAAAATTATTTTATTCCAAAATGCTTTCATCCATTTACAAAAACATCTTCAGCACTACATTCTAACTAAAATACAATAAATTTTAAGTGTATATAATTCAACATTTTTTTTATTATTTTAAACTTCTTTAAAATAATTTCCACAATCATACTCAATATTATACTCAAATGTTTTCAAATTTAGAAATTAACTGATTTATCATAGAGGTTGGTCATATGCATCTAAAACAGCCATCCACAAGTCTAATGCTGATGTGTCATAGATATTAATTACCTTAAGAGAGCAAACTATCAGATGTATATAATATTGTTCTACTATCCTAATGGACCATTTTTCCATCCATGCTTTTATAGTCAGGAAGTTCTGTCAAACAACATTAATTTCACTGTCCCAAGCCCATTGGGTTAGTATTGTATCTTATCTGTTTGCCTTGTCCCTTGAATCCTCTGGTGCTCAGGCTCAAAAATTGAACTCTGAACCTGAATACACTTTACAATCAAGTCAATCAAACTTTACATTGCTTTGGCTTACATCTCTATCACTATCAGCATGTCCAACATCTGCTTCCAGAAAATCCTGCAATGAGATTTGAATTTTCTCAGTGGACATATACACAGCCATTGCAAAGTAACTCAGAGAAACAATACCTCATCTTCAGACAAGAGTTTTGAAATGTATTGAGTTCAGGATTCAATTTTTGAGCATTTATTGTGAACATAACATAATATTAATCGAAAGTTAGTTTTCTCCATTAACATTAATCAAACACAACTAGAAATTTTATCCATAGAAGGTAAAAGTGAACTGTTAAAAAAATTTTGTATCTGAATAACAACTTTTTATTACATTTTATTCTTGAGATAATTCAGATATGGGTATCCAAAATACCCAAATATTACACAAGTTTAAACTGACTTTTCAAAAATGATATTTATCATATTTGAATCTTATACTTGCTCATTTACTTACTTCTATTTAAGAAAACTGATAGTTTTAAAGTATATAGAAAATAATCTTAGCAGTCAAATCTTTAACATCTTTTCACTTTACATCCAGTGAAAATTAACTCACAAACATGTTTCCATTGCTTCTGTTCACTTAAATTTGGTGACTAATTGACAAAATATATAGTAACTTTTAAAATTATATATATTGTATTTTTGATTTATGTGGAGACTACTTTCCTGAAATATGTATCTTTCAGGAATACTAAGCATCATTTATGTCACACTTTTCAGGAAACTTTTAATTTATATGTTAGCTTAGTTAACACAAAGAACGAATCATTGATGATAAGCAAAAAGAATATTGCATTAGCAATGGCATCATTTCTGAACATTTTTCTGTTTTTCATATCATGCAAACATTCAAACATTAAATTTTTCCACTAGTGAAAAATATTCACCATCGATTAAAACAACTAATTTCTAGATAACAAACAGCAAGATTTAAACACAGCCACTACAAAAAATGTACTTTCTAATTATATTCTAATAGTTGTAATTCTTTCTGAAATTTTCTTTTTGTAAAATAAAGCATCAAGAACAATTTGCTGTCATCAGTTGACATCTTGTTCTATGATGTTTAACTTCACTCACAAATGAGTGTTGTTCATTTTACTGTTCTTGCATTAAAAAATGGCAATAGAAATCAATTTCACTTAGTTAAAATAAACTTTTTCTCCAATTCACTTTTACTAGAGAATATCGATGTAAACTAATTTTGTAATTTGTACAAATCTTCATTTACATGATAAATTAAGATTTATGCAAATTAACAGAAATTAGCATTTTAAAATTCATGAGGGAATTTTATTGAACAACACATTCGTATTAAAAGATGTCTATAGATATCGTGTACTTGATTTTTCAAGTGATAAACATTTTTGTAAATAATATCTAAGTACAAAATGAGTATCTGACAATTAGCATTAAAAATAAGGTGTAAATTATTATTGTTGTTTTTTTTTTTAATAAATCATAAAAATTTCTTATGATAATTACTGGTATAAAGCTTAAGACTAATTAATAAATCTAACTTTTTCATGACTTGAACTCTTTTTATGATCTTATGACTTTCATTAAAAAATAAGTATTTAATAATTATTATTTAGTAAATATTATAAAACATCTTAATTGAAAAAAATTAATTAGTATTTATTTTAGATTCAAAGTGTAAAGTTGATAACATTTATGACAGCATAATGGTGATGGGATTGATCAATCTGGTATCAGATGTGTCTTCCAGAATTATCCTTTTCTGTTTAATGGTAATAAAACTAGAAGTTGTTGCAAAACAACTTGAAAAGATTTTCTTGAAGTTTGAAGTCTTTTTGCTGTTCCATTGGTTGAAGGAATGTTTGCTGGATGACAAAAATTAACTTGAATAAACTCAAATTATGCCTTCAAAGAAAGTTTATTTGTCTCAAGATAGCATTTTACTTAAAGATATGTTTCAAGTGATCATTTATTGAAGATAAATTGTGTAACTCTGACTTTATTACTCTGACAAAAAACTCTCAGTATGTCTTTGTGACTCTTCCTTGTTTAACCTTCTTGTTTTCTTTCTCTCTAATTTATTATTTTTATACATCTAAAAACTTCAGCTTAAAATCTTGTGTTAATATCTACTGTGATTTCTTTCATAGATTTATAATTAAGTAAATTAGACAAATCCTAAGTGAAGTACATTCTCTTAGAAAATCATTTCTAGAAGAGCAAGTTTCATAAACATTAAAAACTTGTAGAACACATTTCTAATCCATAGTTTTTGTTATTCAATACTAAAGGCTTCAGTTGCTCTTTTATCAGCACTGGATATTTACATTTTTATTATCTGCTTTATTTTTGAAGAATTTGTATTAACTTCTGCTGGTTTTAGAGAAAGTTGGAAATTCAAAAAAACTGATTTTAATCTTTTTCTATATCTTCATGTAGGAGTATTTTATATAATTTTTGATATCAATAAAGGACAAATAATTCATAATTTTTCATAAAATGATAGTAATTACAACACAAAGATCTTTAGATATAATTCCTGAAATTTAGTTTACCATTCTTTTTATTTTCATTCAAATAGTAAACATAGTAATTACTCTTTTGACTTCATCAGTATTTGTATTTATTAAGTAAAATAGGAAATAATATTTAAATACTACAGATAATTGCCTTAAAATATTTTTACAGTTACATGTCCAAAATTTATGAACAAAATGTGTCATGAAAATTATTTATATGAACATGATGCTTATTAATAATAATTGTTGTATTTTGTTTATAACTTTTCTCGTTTTTAGCAATAACCATATTTCACATCATTGGAAGAGAGTATTTACAGTTTAAATTAAAATAAGTAAAATAAAATTACCATTTTCTTTATCTGATCATGCTTAGGATGAGAAAATAAGTTTTAGAATTTTTGGAAATTTATACAAGCTTCATTGTGATCTAAAAGGAAATAAAATTCAATAAGCATACAGCATTCATTATCTTCATTTCAGAAACTTTGAAAAAGTATCATCAATAGATAAAGTTGAAAATTTAAATAAACATAACTGATATTCATTATAGCCTTTTATATCATCATGTTAGCTGATTTGCTCTTACTAACATTTATCTAAATAAAAGGATTTAGTGTTTGTCACAAATTTTATGATTAATCAATTGAATGCTGAAACAACAAGATAATCACTGGAAATGTTTTCTCATTACATACAAATTTCTCTTTACAAGTTTTCAAATTCAATATTGTTTGTTTTCATAATTGTAATATTGAAAAAACATAATCAAACATTTAAATTCTTACTATGAAATGTAATGAGTTCATTACTGATAAATTATTCTCTATGTTTACAATATATTTAGCTCCACAGACAATTGTTGCATTTGTTTTATTAAACATGGTATAACTGTTCCAATAAATTTGTTAATAATTAAACTGTTTTATCATTTTGATGCTTATATTTTCAAATTATAAACTGTTACAATCAATTGGATAAGATGCAAGTTACAAATTTAAATTATTATTGTTCATAAAAAAATAAACTTAAGCATTATGTTCCAACATTTCAAAATTGTAGATATTTTTATCTTTAGAATTCCAATATTTAGATTGATTGATTAAGATTAATGTAATGCAATTTGAATAATGTGAATTATAAATTTAAAGAATTATAGCATTTCTGTAATTTGTAATTATATCATATTCATTAAATTTATAAAATTATTATTATAATGCTTAGATAATGTAAGGACATAGGATTTTGTAACAAATTAACAATGCACATTCCTTCATACCAGCTTCTTCAATGCTTGCAATAAATAAATATTACTGTTTTATAAAAGCTAATATGCTTTTCTTCTGTAAAGTAGATAATGAATTTCAGTAAAATTTTATATTATAGAAATACCTGTTTCAAATTCCTCTGTTCTTTCTGATATGTATGCAATATTTCTAAAAACTGCTTATATATATCTGGTTGACCTTGAAAGCGGTTCTGAAAATTAAAAACATATTGTGAGTATTAATTGCATATTTCATTGTAGTTTTATGCATGTATGTACACACAAAATTTAATAGCCTAGGTCAGCAGTGCCCAAACTTTTCAATCGGTGAGAAAATCACACACAAGTTCTGGATAGCAGACCATAAAATTTTTTTGTACATTCCATGTATATAAAAAATATTTTTCAAAGAAAACATGTTGTATCCAATATATACACATCAGTATCTGTAAGAGCATACAAAGCCTTCTTTTCTTTGACTAAAAAACAGAGACAGTGTGTTATGTATATTTGGAAATTGTATAATTTATAAAATTCTTCTTTTTTTTTAATCATTTATGACTGATTCTTCAAATAACTTTGCAGGCCAGAATAATTTGTGCAATAGGCCAAATTTGGCCTGCAGATCATTGTTTGGGCACCACTGGCCTAGTTGATAATTCAACTAATGTTTTAAAATAAATTTTATTAATTATATATCGGTGTTGTAAAAATTTTAACTAATACTTATTTTGTTGAGAAGTGTTTTTTTATTTTAAAATGTTTTGAAAATATTATTTACCATCTGTTGATTTAAAATGATAATAATAAAATAATCTAAATACATCTATAATTTATGTTACTTAAAATGAATAGTCAAACTCCACTTTTTTTATAATTATAAAGTTACTCCTCATTACTCACTTAATGCAAAAACAGTTTCATCAAAAATTGCAACATAACAGAGTTACAGAGCACAAACATTATGAATTACTACTATTTAATATTTACTATGCAGAATGTTAAGTGTTTTTTTTCCATCAGTTGTCACAAATAATAATTTCAATAGTGCTATTAATTATTATTTATAAGTATCAGTAATACTAATATACTTTTGCATATTTGTAGCATCACATTTAGGAATAATTATCAGAGATTATTCAAAATGCAATTGAAATGACAGTGGAAAACTAATTATAATATATTGAAGTGTGATACAATATTCAAAGTACACACTAAGTTCTGCACAGTATTGGCAATGATAATGAATACATTTTAGGGTTCTTACTGCAGTGAAATTGTTAACCTTTTAAATTTTTAATGTAAAATAATATATAGAATATATAATAGGTGATAAAAGAATAACTTTATAATTAAGAAAAAGAAGTTTGAATAAACTAACTTAGAATTTAGAAATAACAACATTTTAATCACTGATTTAAGCACATATTTGCCATCATACTTAAAATTTAGAGAGATTTAAATAAATAACATTTACACAAAAGCTTATTATTAAGTCAAAAGTTATATGAAGAAAAACTGATTAAACTTTTATGTAATTTAACCAGTCTCTATATAATATACATACATAAAATTTTATTAGAATTTTTAACTCCGTTTTTATAATAAAATATTTTAAAGATAATATTCATTTTAATAAAATTTAAAAATCAAAATAGATCATAAAAAAAGTTCTAGTGCATTCAGATCTACATCCATCATCAGAAACACTTACAGAATCATGACAAATGATATTAACATAATAATTTGTTATTTATAACTATATTTCAAATTGAAACAAAAAATAAACAAATCATTACCTTAGAACCAAAAATACAAAATTTTATATGTACACAAAGAAATTAAATTAACATTACACTAAAAAAAATATTAAATTTAGTACTACTTCTATAAAAACAGACATAAATTACATGTTATTAGAGCTCAAAATACCAAGTTTAGAATTTTGAAATTAATAATGCTTTTTTTAAAAATAATTTTAAAATTAATTTTATGAATATAAGAATGACACAAAAATTTTAAATACAACAGTATAAATAAAGAATCGCTATTGATAACAGAAAAAACCAAATTAATAATCAACTGGAAAAATAAAAAATATGTAAGATGGATGATATATTTTGGAAAGGTTTTAAAAAAACATAGGAATCAGAAAGAACAAAATAAATTGTAGCAAATTCAGTAGATTCTTAAACATCAAAAGGATTCCCTCAGATTTTATGAACATTATTTATTCCTATACTTAAAACAACTGGACAATAAAATACAGCAGACTCTGATTAAATGATCTCTAAGAAGCAATCTTCACATTAATACCACAACATGAAAGTCAATTAGTTACAAAATAAATATTTATATCTGTTTCATTAAATTTTAGAAAATTTTTGATAGACTAAATTGCTACAATTATTTTAAAATAAAGAAACTTGACATAACATAATAAGTTATACCAATAATACTTTATTATTATTATTATTATTAATCTTTGTATTTCTTTTAATTTGAGATATTGTTTTCAAAAAGACTATTTGTAAAAAAAATAAATATTATCCAAAACATACCAGAAACAAGAAACAACTGTAAGATTTGATCATTATCTTATAGATTTATTATGGAAAATAAAACAGATCAAAATCCTTGAATATCTAATAAAAATATCAGATATGCAAATGACATCATGCTATTAATTGATACAGAAACAGGCTGCAATTTTGAGTTACATTAATACACTGGATTAAAAAAAAAATACAGTTTGAAAAGAGAATATGAAATTAAAATTAATATATAAAAATATTGGGATGTACTGTATAGCATACTAAATGGTGAAAGATTAAAAGAAATGAGTAAATATGAATACCTTCAATGATAAATAATGAATGAGAAAAAAAAAATCATCTCGTTGAAGTAAAGATCAGAATAAACAAGATCAAAATTGCTTATGAACAAATATATGAATATAAGCACAATAAAACTTATACTGGTAATTAACAGAAACCTAAAAAGACACAAAGGATAATATGAACCATACCTGACAATGAAATGAATCCTGAACAGAGAAAATAACAAAAAAACTAAATAAATGTTTGAGATGTGGGTATTTTAAAAGACTGAGAATAATTAATAAAACAGTCAGACTAATGAAAAACAAAAAATAATGACAAGATTTAAGAGAGGGGAGTCTGAAATAATGAAGAGAAAAACAACTTTTGCTTTGATATATTATACTAAGGATTTTAGGAAAATTTTTTATAGACAATTCTTCAGAATAAAATGGATGGAAGAAAAAGGAGAGAACAATCTCAAAGAGATTAGAACAACATCAGAAAGACATAGAAAGTGTGTTCACCTTCAACTCCTAACAGGAAAAAAATGTCCCAAGAGCAGAATATATTAAGATAAATTTTCCATTAAAAGTAATCATGTTCAATAACACCGAGATGATATCAAACATTTTAAAAATCATCACAGTATTTGGTCAATTAAATGCATATAAATATGAAATGTATAGACAAACAGAGAAATACATACAATAGTTTGAAGAATAAAAATTTGTGTTATTGTAGTTACATTTTAATATGAATGATTTATCCAATTGAAGTTAAATGGTAAAAGATAACATGTATTACAAAAATATTTATTTCTGTTATCATTTTAAATATTCTTTAAAAAATCCTTTACAGTTAAGAATAGTAGTATATTCAATTTCAAGTTTATATTGGTAATTGAAGTTCTACTGTATTCACAGAGATTTTTTTTTTAAATTTAAATTTATATACATAAATGTATGTATTTCGTGTGTGTGTATGTAAATGATAAATAAATACTTTAGATATGAGTAGTTCTGCTAATATATACAGTATGTATTCAGATTATATCTGCATATATTTTAGTAAAATATAAAGGAAGTCAAGATATTATCAACATTACTTTTGTATACTTTATCTGTAATAACTGTAAATGAAATTTGTTAGGTACATGTCAGAATGTATATTTTTACATAAGAAAAATAAATGCTCTGAAGAAAATTCTTCAAAACACTGATCTTAAATTTGCAAAAATAGTGAGAAATTAATAATTTAAGGGAGTAAAGTATGGTTTCAATTTTATTTTTATGTATTTCAATTTCATAATTTATTATTTATATTTTATATAATTTTGAGCACATTTTAATTTATATGAACACTTTTTTAAATTGTCTTTCATAATTACATAAGTATAAAAAATATCCAAATTCTTAAAAATGCATCCTGGAATATAGCATATCAAAAATATTTCTAAAAATAAACTGTCATCTATATATTTAAGACCTTTTATGTAAATAACTTCAAATTCACAATAATCACTTCTACCTATTTCAAAAACAGAAAAGGAATACTAAATGAAAAATTGAAATTGCCAATCTGAAAATCTAGCTTAATACTCTGCCAACTGAGATATTTTTGTTCAATGAAAATAATTTAAATCTGGTTAACAGATATTCCCTATTTGAAATGCTTCTGTGGATTTAAAAATCCAATATCTAAATTCTAAAAGTTAACTTTCACAAATAATAAAATATTTTTTGAACAACTCCAATTTAAACTCCAGAAAAAAAAAAATAAACTATTCTACTCCATTGAAATATCTTTTACAAAATGCATAAACTCTAATTGTTTAAAGGATATCATTCATCTACAGGAGAATATAAAATCATCAAATTTTTTTCTGAAACAAATACATAAATAAAGAAACAATCTTCTATTGGAAAAAACATCATTAAAGATCATTTTAATATGTCTGATCAAATCCAGAAAAAAAGAATTCATTAACTCAGAACACTAGTTTCAAGAGAATCAAACAATTAAATCATCAACTAGAAAAAAGTAAACAGAATTAAATCAGAAGCTTTCATTGTTAGAAAAATGTCTTTTTTTAAAAGATTAGTATTATTACTGTATTTACATATGTTTTTAAAGCACAATAATATAAGTGAATAACAAGAACTTCATACAGTGATTACCTTTATTTTATTCACATAATTAATTGCATGATTAAATTCTACTGGTTGACTGGCTTGAGGAGTACTAGGGCTATGAGCACTTGGAGCATTGGTTGCATGAGGAGGAGAACTTTGATGATAAGGATGTTGACTGTTAACAGATGTATGTGTTTGACTACTTACAACAGATATTTGATGAATAGCCNACGTAAAAATTCTCTAATTAGTCTGGAAACGGGGGACCTAATTCTTGCATTCTGTGAAAACGGGTAAGATTAGCTATAATGTAATTATCTTAATCTTCACTGTCGTTACTTTTTGCTCAGCGAAGCGGGTCCTTGCAGCTAGTAAATAAATAAGTTTTATAATTCTAATGAATTTCATTATATTTATTTAACTTTGCTAATATAATTTTTAACAATTTCAATCTTTGTATTCTATCAAAGCTTTGTATGATTTATAACAAACGAAATTTTTTTTTAATTACAACTTTGCTAATATAATTTTAAACAATTTCAATCTTTGTATTCTATCAAAGCTTTGTATGATTTATAACAAACGAAATATCCTTTTATTTAAAATATGTCCCTATCACCCTATCCTACTGCATCCTATCACTTATTATTATAATAAGTGAAAGAAAGATTCTGTATCTTTTATACCAACAATTTCTAATCTTATTCTTAAAGAATATTTTTAGTTTTCTGGAAAAATATAATTATTCTTCAATTCTTAAACAATGCATCCCACAAAAATTGTTCTTATGATACAAGCTTATAAAGCAAAAATTACTTCTGAATTCATTTATTACTGCAAAAATAATAAGAAAGTAAATTTTTCTGAAAAGGTCATATTTATATAATAAACAGTATACAAGGAGAAATAATAAGAGTAATTGAAATCAGAATGCTGTTTTTAGAATAATTCTATTAGTCATTTATAAGAATAAAATGAGGTTGATTTTAAATGAATCTAAAACAAAAAACTTCCTTCAAATTTAATCAATGGAAAATTCAGAGAAATGTATACTTCATAACAAAAATTATAAGTAAAAAGTAGCATTATGATACTATTAATTTTTCTAAACTGTTCAGAAATATGACATTCTGTCAAGAAAAATAATTCAAATACTAATGATAACTAATAACAGAATCTAACATGTATAAGGTTTGATTAATAAATAAGTTTCTGAAAAGTGAAGAGATATACACACATACATAGTCATTGCCATACAATAGTTCTAAGTGCCTAGTTTGTATATGAACATTGTGTTGCATACATAATAACCAAATCAACATACAAAATAATGATCAGTTGTATACCTATCAAATTTCACAAGCCATTTACAAAAATGTATGTATGAAGAATAGTTGGAAGTGTGCTCAACATACAAAAAGCTACTATAATGATGAAATGAATGTTTTTTGATTAATAAAGGGTGTATTTCTTTATTAGACCATTAATTCACTTGTTTCACTTGTGACAGATGAAAGAATTTTCTTATTCTCATGACAATCACTAGACCAACATGACAGAGTTCAGAGTTGAGTGCATTTTGTCTGGCTACAAAACAGATAATATTCAAACCTTGTAAGGGGCCGTCCATAAATTATGTAAGGTATTTTGGGGTGGAAATTTTGAATTTGGCTTCAATTTGGCTGTTTCTATTAAGAACGCTCATTGTACTAAAGCCATCTCGTGTGACGTGATAAAATAATAATGCTAGCAGACTCACGCTCTACGTGTTTTTTTTTTTCATGGGAGAAAGGCCATATGGTGGTTTCTCTCTCTCTTCTCTCTCTCTTTTTTTTTTTTTTTTATTAGAATAAGTGCACCACTCCTATGGGTGTAAACACTAAGAATAAATAAACCAAAATACATGATACAAAGTAAACATAAAATTAGTATTTGTCTTTTAGTGAAAACTAAAATGTAAAACTAAATATTAGAAATTATAAATAGTCTTTTCTTCCATGTTTTTTGAACATAATTGTAAAAAGCAACAAACACTGGCTTCTGAACAAGCTTATCGAGTGGACATGGTCACCTGAAACCAAACGTAAAGATTTCTAATTTCAGAATAAGTGTAAGTTGATCATAAATTGGACAATGATAGATCATATGGCAAATGTTAAATCTCTACGTGGTGATGAGATCCTGCATTCAACACTAGGAAAATAAAGTCATGTTATTCTATCAGTTTTACTGCTCAACCATTGTAGATTCCACTTTTGCATAGCGTTGTCATGAATATAATTTTTAAGGCTGCTATGTGAGACAGGGATGTGAGTGTAGTCCAAATCAGTGTCCTTTGCAGCTGACTTAGCCTCAAAGTCGGCTTTTTCATTTCTAAGTATGCCAGTATGCCCAGGAAAATATAAAAAAGTTATCTTATTTACAAGATTTTATTGCTATTGTAATTGAGATTTAATAGAGCTTTTAGGACAGACTGAGAATCACTGTAAATGTTGATAAACAGAGTTTTGTTTGGTAGTGAAGTGGCCCACTGAGCATCTTGGTAGTCAGCATCTTCTTCAGTTTGATAGGTGGAGGTATGTGGGCAGTATCTGTACCTTCTAACATATTTTGGGCAAAATATGTCAGTTTGGAGGAAGATACAGATACTTGAGCCAACATGAAGGGAGCTTTTAGATCCATCTGTGTAGATATTAATGTCTGCATGGTTATCCATGGAGGAAGCAGATGACACCAAATGTACCCTCTGTACACATTTAGTAGGGTAATTGCAATGTGGTAGCTTATGAACAGCTGTAAATAGGAGTAGAGACCGTTGTTGAGCTTGATGTTTGTAGTTCTGATGTAGTAGTTTAGAACCTTTTCTTACAATACATAGTGCAAAAGAAGGAGCTCTGCTAGTATCAGAGGCATTAGTAGAAACAGTTCTGCAGTGCTTTGAAATTCTGATGGAAACTGGCTTTGAAGAGAAAGTAATTTACTTGCTACTAAATTTTTACTAGTTACATGACCCTAGCTAGAGGTCGTGTAAAGTAGCATTGGTTGTATTACCCCATTATATAGAGTTTTACAAGCTTCCCCGGGTGCACCTAACACATTTTAGCAGTATATAGTTTATTTTATTGACCTTATACAAGATGTAATTAATATGGCAACAGAATGTGGTTTCTATTCTCTCTCATTTTATTTTGTATGGCATTTCTGTTTACGTGTGCACTAGCTTGTCAATCTGTCAGTTTTTTGCGTCCTTTTGTGAAAATTAAAATTAATATAAAAATGAATATTATGACATTGATTAATGATGATGATGATGATAATAATAAAATTGTTAATAATTAAAAAATAAAGTTCTTAAAATAAATTGTTCATTCGAATTCATTAAATGTTTATATTTTAAAATTTGTTCACATAAAGTCTTTTATAAATAATAGTACATATTAATTAACTAATTAATAATTATATATTTTGGACCTAAGGTTTTTAGGGTTTCATAAAAAAAATTTTTTTGTTAAAATTTTTCTATAAAATCGTGCCTAAATACAGTAATACCCCGAACTTACGCGATAGGTGGGACCGAGCGATAACCGCGTAAGTCGGGGTATAATTTCTCATATAAATAAATACAAATAACTTTTAATTGGGGCCGGAGACTAAAGAAAACAATAATTTAGAAAAAATGTTTAATAAAATCTTAGATAATACATATGTATAACAAATTAGGCCTATATTATTTTACAATTTTTCACATTTACTTGATTATTACGCCATAATTTTAACATTGTTTCCATCTTAGCGATAATACTGTGACGTTTACGAATGATGCTTGAATTTAAAGATTGAGCATTTTTCACAGCTTCGAGAATTTTTTCTTTGCCTTTTATAATTGTTCTGACCGACAATTCCGGTAGATCAAACTTCTTTGCCAATTCACAAATTTTCATTTTTGTATCGAAGTCTTTAATAATGGGTACGTTCGTAAAGTCAAACGAGTTAAACGCGTTAGTAACGAATCGTTCGAAAAGTCTAACGAAATAGGAATAACGATGACTTCATTCTCGCTTAACTCGTTCGACTTTACGAACATACCCAATGTTAACTTTACATTCCAAAGATAAAGTTTTTCTTTTCTTGTTTGATGCAGAAGAATTAGTTCTACTTCATTTGGATTACATAGTAGAGTCTCTCGAGTCTCCGTAGATATAACAAACACAGAAATAAATAACACAAAATAAATTGTAGCTATGTGTGGATTCCGCGCGACACATCCGAACATGTAAGCTGAACAATAGTGTGGGGGAGTGAGTATCAAGGGTTGCATGGCGCTCAAACAAAAGACGAATCGACGAGATTTGAAAATCACGTAACTCCGGGTTCGCGTAAGTCGGGGTATTACTGTATTATGTAAGATAATATTTAGGCATGATTCAGGAAGGAGATCAAAGAAGGAGAGGGGGATCAAAGAAAATATTACGGTTTCTTACAAAGGGGTGGGTGGGGGGTCTAGAATGGCCAAAATCGCCCTTACATAATTTATGGATGGCCCCTAAACTTTGTGAAAACACATAGAAGCCTCCATGAATGTGTGTATCTCAGTCAGGAAACTCATGAAAGTTAATCAGGAAATAGATGAGAAAATAAGTAATAGTATGTATAAAACTCAGCTAATAATTATTTTAAAACTACCACTACTAATAAATCCTTAACCACTGCTATGAAAATTCAAAAACTTTATTTATTCTATGCTCATGAAATCTAACAATAAACTAACAAACAAGACTCAAGCTGGGATTCTGAAATAAAGAAATGCACCCAAAGACAAGGGCAAGCAATTTTAATAACGCATAATAAGAATCAAGTTCAAGTTGATATACTAATTTTAGGAAATTAGTCAAGAAACAGTAAAAGAGTATCCAGTCTTTGAATAACTGAAAAAGCTGTACTAGATGGGGTATCATGACAATTAACAGATACTAAAAAAAAACAGCAAGTGAAAAGTTTGTCAAAAACTCCTCAATTATTATAGTAATAAAGATTGATGATTTGGCATGCAAATTAGCATCAGACATGAGTTATGGATTCACTATTATGACTCAGTGAATAAAAGAAAGTTGATGCAGTATTGTCATCCTTATTTTATCTCCATTATTAAATTGAAAACTGTTCCCTCTGAGAACTGAAAAGAAATTATTTATAGAATATCTGGCAAAGGGAAAAACAATCAGTCCAATT